GGAAGGGGCGCTACGCCTCTGGTCAGATAATATATAAAAAGGTGAACATGTACTAGTTGATCATAAATAAATTTAAACTGGGAGCGGTCTGTGCACGGCGTGTCCTATGCGATGGAGCGATAGTCTACTACCCTCATAAGTCACTAGTGAAATCCGGGCAAAGTGCCCACTAATACCCATCATTTTACCAAACAGAGGTAAAAAAAATAACAATGAATATCGTGTTCTAAAGCTGATTATTCATTTTTTAATTTGAAGAGATTGTCTTAGTATTTTATATGTAACATTGAAACACTAGATGATTAAAAGTCAATCGTTACTTATTATCTTCATAAAATAAGTATTTAATATATTTAATGTTGTTATTAAATTAAATTTAAATTTAATCATTAAAAATTTCACAGTGCAAATCATAAAAGGGATAAACAATCGTAAAAATATTTTAGATGTTTTATAAATATTTAAACAATAAACAATGATCCTCATTTTAGTTAATTAATTTTAAATCACTCCAAATATTTTGACATTTAGGTACATGAAAATTGTTGTCTCCCATTAAACGTTTTATTTTTTAATGGGAAGTAACTACAATTTCATATTTTTTTAAAAAACTCAGACCTTTTTACTTTCTCGTATATACGAAGTATAGAGAAAGTCTTGTAATCGTGCAAAAAAATCGAGATTTTTACAAATCTCGACGTTTTACATCTCACTGATACGGAAAAACATAATTTTGCAATCTTGTCCGTATGTCTGTGTGTCTGTCTGTCTGTGTGTGTCTGTGTGTAAACACGATAACTTGAGTACCTTCACAGCTAGATTGATGAAATTTCATATATAGGTATTTTATCAAAATCGTAGATCCGTATCAACTTTTGAGCGATTTCCGATAACCGGAAGTGGTACTTTTTCTACCTTGAATTTTTCAAAAGCGTATAATTTGAGTACTATTTCAGATAGATAAATTAAATTTCACATGTAAGTAAAAGATCTAATTCTCTACCTTTTATCAAATTTTGAGTAATTTCCGTTGACCGGAAGTACTTATTTACGCAATTTCCGATTTCTCAAAAAACGCATGTAAATTTATAAAGTACTAATAATATTCCGCACTATTATGCACATTTTATTTGGCGTTCACTTGGTGCGCAATTCTTTTTTCTACGAGATTTTATTCTATTTTAAAAAGTTTAAGTATTTTAAATGGATTAAAAATCATGTCTATATTCCGAGTTGCCATCCCCTGTTGTTTCATTTAATAATATTCGAGAAAATTTAGGGGAGATCACTCCCGGTTTATTCAGAATTGCAATGTGTATGTTAGACAATGAGTTTATACACGTTTCACAGTCGTGTGCTGGGGTAGAAGTGAAGCGGCCGATATCCCTAAGACAATTTTTCAGGAAAGTGGCGCTTTACTTGCAGATTAATTCAAATAAAATTTAAAACACATTTCTTCGAAGACACTAGAAAACTACGAATTCAAAACTTACAGCAACGTTTTAAGACCAGGGTATGTTATGTAAATGATTACATGAAAAAAAAGCCACAGTAAGTAAAATATACAATAAACTGAGAACACATTTATTTAGATTGTATATTAGTACAGAAAGCAAAGCAAACACTTGCGAAAATATTAAACACCACCAATCAAACATCCACAACAAATAAAGCAATCACACTTAATTTAATTAACACGACTAGACAAAGAACAGAAGATGAAAACATACTAGTAGCAACGGCTATTTATATGGCAAATTAGGAATAAATCCAGATATTTTTTCACAAAATACACGGACATCGAGTTAAAAGAAATATTTCAAGCAAAGCTAAGACATAGATCAGTATGAGTATTACAGAGACACTTCTCCCACGGTCGTTTCGATTTCTGTCCATGGGTGACTACAATGTGAACTTTTGACTCCACAGCTAAGGACTGAGCACAGTAAACTAAGCAGTCAAGAGAAACCAAGTTTGCACACCTTATTTTAGTCTAGTTCTTATGCCATTTTATTTTCTCCCTTTGATTATTATATATGCAATTGATGTTCATGTCTTTGATTCTGTGTAAAACTATCAAACAAATTATTATTACTGATTTAAATGTTTAAAACAATTGAATTAATAAAAACTGTTTAAGGACTGTATAGATATAGATGTGTGAAAGGGAAGAATGTTTGCTTTGATATGTCTCGTTGTAATAACATAACTTATCCGATTGCTTAAAATTTGTATCATTGTAATTCTCTGAAATCACACATTTATTTCAGCTCTACTTAAAAACCCAAATTCCACCCCGTCCCCCCCCCCCTCACCCACCACGCCGAGGGAAAAAAAATCCCTTGAGTCATCATTTAATTACACATTTGCATTTTCAGGTTGGTTTTTTTTTTATTTTTTTTTTTATATTTAAACGTTTTGTATTAGATCTATGTATAAGTAAACCATCTTAAATGAATGAAAGTAGGCTGCAAGTAAGAAAGAAATATTACTATTGTAAATCTGTATCAGTCCTCACAAGCCGGTGATGAAAACTGTAATACTAAAGCGAACACACACAACTGACGCTGTTAATTACGTCTGAGGCACACCAAAAAAAAATCTCGATTTTTTTTTTGCCCGATTACAATACTTTCTGTATACTTCGTATATACGAAAAAGTAAAAAGAGAATTTTTTTCTATGACTTTTTTTTTTCCCCAAGCAAAAGCTGACTTTTTTTCTGTGTTATCTTTTTCCTGTGACTTTCAACTGTTAAATACCTAAATAAACACCTAATTTTGTATAACTCATCGTATGGATATTTCTTGCTTTCTATACGACCTGTGGAGAACCAATCGAAAACTAAGCGTTTTCTGTCACCGTGTCAGTCCTTGTTCTTCTTCTTCGTTCTTAAGTCTAGTTTCTCCAACACAATTAAGTATACTTGTCAACTTATTACGCGCCATATAGGCCGTTGACTCCGATTTCAGACTGCTTTTCTGTTTGGGTTTGCTTTCATAGCCTTTGTCCAACCAAGAACAAATTACAAGGAAGCAGTTGTTTGAATTTCGGAGTTGTCTCTCCTAGATGGGTTGCTGTTCCCAGCTATCGAACCTCATCTGCTTAAGGGTTCGAACTCGAGACTTTTCAGTTTAGCATCCATGAAATTTACCGACTCGACCACGCCGACCCGTAATGTCAGTCCAATTTCAACACATAATTCAAGCTGAATGCTAGTGTAACAGACGTGGTTGGTTGGTAGAGATCACGACTTCTAGCCAGAAAGTCTCGAGCTCGAATCCCGGGTTTGAGTTTGTAGGATGTCCCTGAGCCCACCCAGCTCTGATAGGTACCTAGCTCACGTTAGTCGGATGAACACAGTGCCGGCTACACTATCACCCTGTACGCCGAGATTTTAAGAGCTCCACTCTACTTCCTCTGCCCCCAAATGTCTTGGGCATTACGGAAGAAGATGATGAATCTGATTGCAAGTGTAGACTTCGTACGAGGTTGTCAGTCTAGGGACTGCGTACGTATATGTTGGTATAGGACACCTTATATCCGTTAACCTTTAGAATTTAAGATTTGCTCTGTTCCCATGTTAAATGAATAATTCCCTAAATATTTTTGTTATATTTGTTTCAGACAGTTTTATCCTTAGGCGGGGGGGGGGGGTGGAAAGGGGGTTGTTACGGGTAATTTGTAGGTTAGGTTAGATTGGTTGTGATACTCAAGTATCGAACCTCATCTGCCCTCGGTTTCTTCTTCTTCTCAGCTGGTTATGCACCATTTAGGCCGTTGACTCCGATTTCAGCCTGCTTTTCTTTGTGGATTTCCTTCTTCGGTTTAAACTCGGGACTTTTACCGACCCGACCACGCCGACCGCTAAGCTAACTGTGATTTCTATTGTCATAGATATCACCGTGTCAGTAAAAATTCCAAACACTATCCCAATTAGGCGAAGTTCTATAAAATTTGTAAAAATAGCCTGAAAAATGACTTGATGTGGTTAGAAATTATGTACAGTCGAATTATCAGTTTGCGTTTAAGACCATTCATTTTACAAAATCACTGTTTCCATTTCCTACCAGAGGCGTACCAACGGGAGGGGGGTACCTATGTCCCCGGGCGCCGCCCCTAAGGGCACTAAAATGGGTTGGAAAAAAAAACGCAACAGCTCATTTTAGCTACAGTTTTGAATTATAAATATAAAAAAAAATATATGGGGGGGGGGGGGGGGGGGGGCGCCAAATTGAAAGTTTGTCTCCGGGCGCCGGGACGGGTCGCTACGCCTCTGGTTCCTACCGTAGACACATGGGGCAGATGAAGTAGAGTTCAGATACCTCTAAGTCCAGCCGCCTTTACATTCCCCTAACGTGAGTTAGGTACCCTGTCAGAGCTGGGTGTACTCAGGGACGGTCTAATGACTTGAACCCGGATTCAAACTCGAGAATTTCGTGTTAACAGCCTAACTCTCTATAGCTGTCCACGCTGTCCCCACGCAGTCCAGAGTTTCTTTCAGGCATCTCTTCGAAAATTTCAAGTGCCCCCCTTTCCCCCCCCCCCCCCCCCCCCCCCGGAGAAAAAGTCTGGAAGAAACACTGACGATGTAAGATGCACAATTTAAATGTTCGTTTTGAATATTGACGTGCATTTGTACACTCTACCACGCCGACCCATAGTGCATACTTTAATCTGTATCCACACCTCCCCAGAATCCTCAATTTTCCTTTCCCGGTTTAAAAATGCCTGAAAGAAACCCGGTACAAGATGCCATAACTACTTCAAATATCTTTCGCTGGAAATAAACCCTTCTTACAAACCAAAAACAAAAGCGCACTAAACACAACTAGAATGATGCTAAGTTGTGCTGAATTAGCGTTCATTTTTTTAACCATTTTATATTCTGAATTCCCGAAAAAATCTCGGATCTGTATAAATAGCCTATACAAAAAGCTTACCAAATTAAAAAGTTTTAGTTTTTAATGCAAAACTTTGCTTCCGCTTCCGGATTCAAGT